ACACACACACACACACACACACACACACACACACACACACACACACACACGGAGATCACAGACTTAAATGTATTGCCCCAAACTATAAAACTTCTTGAATAACATGGGAGCAAATCTAATTAACATTGTGTTTAGTGATAAGAATTTTAGATATATCACAAATCATAGAGTAAGTTAGGCTTCTTTGAAGTTACTTTTTTTGTTTACACATTAAGTGATTAATTTAAAAGCAAACCAGAGACGGAGAGAAAATACCCAGGTAAATATATATCTGATCAAAGACTCATATCTCCAAATTACAAACAACTCACAAAAGTCAATGATAAAACAGAAAGTTCATTTTTTTTCAAAAGAAACCACTAAGTTTTGATCAGTTGATAAATTTGCAATGCTGCCATAACAGATTCCACAATATCAGTGACACAAAACTGGAAATTTACTTCTTCATAATTCCATGGTCTCACATCCATATTCAAGGTACTAGGACATCTGCTTCATTCTGTGGACTCTGAGACAATCTGTTTAATTGACTTGACATTAATCTTTGTCAGTCTTTGGCTTTTAGAAGCATTACCCTGTTTTTGCCTTACACTTTACTTAACGTAATTCTCTAGCCCATGTTTAAATGCACCTATTTTGTGAAGACACCAGCCAATTTGGAGTAAAAGTCCATTTTTGTTAATGATTTCTACTCAAGTATCTAACAATGACCCTACTTTCAGAGTTTCAGAGACATTAAAGGTAACTACTTTAGAAGGTACAATATTAGGGGAGCTGATTCAACCCACCACCTATATTTGATCTTTGTTTTTAATCAAAGAAAAAATATAGTTGAAAATAAACATATTAAAAATCATTCAACATTCTATAGAGAGAAGTGAATTAACAGTAAATATGAACACACATTTTTGGGAATGATTGAAAAGTAGCGATCACATTAAATATCACTGAACATATGGAGCAGCAAGACCTCCCATTATTTACACTTGGGAGTGAAAAAGGATTCAGGCACTTGGAAGACAATTCATTCTAATGCAGCTAAGCACAGTCCCATATACTAACACAGTGCAGGCTTATAAGCACATTATCAATCACATACCTTATGATAAATATTTATATTACTTATGATAGCAATTCTGTAATTTTGGGAGTTGTTGAATATGAGGACTGCGGCTAATGCATAGAATACATTCATATTCCTTAATAAAAATACATAATCTCTCAGTGAAGAAGCAGACATAGAATAAAATCTAACAAATATTGCAAACCAAAAGTATCTATGATTCGAATTAAGAATGAATTGGTGGGTCAAAATAAAGTTTAGACTAAATATTGGTCCATATGATACAGTTATGGTAGATAAATTATCAAAATCCTTATGTGAAATCCATTTAAAATATAAGCTACCCATAAACTAAAAATTGGGCTATTCTTTCATTTATTCAGAGTCTACAAAATAGAAATAAATGGCCTCAAAAGTAATAAATATCACATATAATGGCAGCTTAGATGGATGGGTATTCAATTTATAAGTTTACCAATCTGCACCCTGAGAATTGTATCCAAAACTCATTCTCATAGTCCTATGACTCAAAATTTGTTTACAAATTATGATTTTTAAAATGTATTTATTTATTTTATTGGTAATTTTTATTTAAGTAATATTTTTATTTATTTTACATACTGACCTCAGTTCCTCTCCTACAAGCTCAGGTCAGCTATCTCTGTGAGATCCCCCCATCATGTCTCTAAGGCTCATACAAACCCTCCACAATTTCTTCAGCAACACCCTTGGAGCTTAGCCCAGTGCTTGACTGTGGATCTCTATATCTGCTTCTATCAGGTATTGGATAGCGTATCTCTGATGACAATTAGGGTAGTCACCAATCTGATTACAGTAAATGGCCAGTTCATGTACCCTCTCCACTATTGCTAGGAGTCTTAGTTGGTGTTTTCCTTGTGAATTCCTAGGGGTTTCCCTGGTTCCAGGTTTCTCCATAATCTTAAAATGTCCCCCCACTCCCAATCAAGATGTCTCTTTTGTTACTCTCCCTCTGTATCCCGCTGTTGTAGAATCACTAAGTTCTGGTGGTGCCAAACTAACTTTTATGTTGTTGCACGTATTCTTACACTACGGTTTACTCATTTAGTTTTGGGGTAATCATAGGCGCTCAGGTGTTAGTTCTTGTGATGTCTTTGCTGGATGGATCTTTTATTCCTTTTTTGTCTGTTTACTGTCTTTTATCCTAAATGGCCAAGGATTCTGGTGGCTGGTTGTTCCTAAGGACCAGTAGGGTCGTCTCAGCAGAGGTTTGTGGGAGTTTCGGTGCTTAAATTGGTACTTGTGTCTATAGGGATGCTGTTCTTTCAACTAGAAAGGTTGTGCTTATATAGGGATGCTGATGTTTTGATGGGTGGTGATACAAGGGGAGATTGGTGGGGCCCATGGGTTTGAGTAGCAGAGTGGTCGCAGAGGTTGCAGAGTCCAGTGAATTTTGGAAATGGACGTTCAGCCTGCCAGGTCTCTCACCAACTGGCCAGATGTTGAGGACTGCTTGAGATCCTTGGATACCCACCAGATTTGGGGGCGGGACTGAACTGCCTTGGTGGGTCTGTGATGGGAAGAGGAGGGACACAGAAAACACAATGGGGCTTGAATCCTGGCGATTTGGGCAGTTTAGCGGGGGCACCAGTCACTCACTGCTTTTTCTAACTGGAATAGGTGGTGCTTGTATAGGCATTGCTGGTGTTACAGTGGATGGTTGTCCAAGGGGATGATGATGGGTAGGTGGATTTGGGCAGCAGAGTTTACAGAGTACAGTGGATGTCTGGGGTAGAGGTAGCCTGCCTGTAGTTCCCTTACATGTTGGCTGGCTGCTGGGAATTGCTCCAGAGCGGTGAAGACCCACCAGCATGAATTGCCAACTATTGGCTAGGTAGAAAATGCAATAAAGGAATGGAATTCATGAAAGGATTAATGGCTACTGGATACCATAAATTACAAGATATATTAGACTGGAGCTGGAGTGCCAAAAATAAAATTTATACACTAGACAAAAGAAGAAAGGTGTCTGAGAATTACTGGAGTACAAAAACACAAACACAAACACTTCTGAGCAAAATTGTGTATGTCACAATTAGGCAAAGGGGAACACTAACGCAAAATCCATTTGCCCCAACAGCCAGTACAATTCACAAACCATATCACATTGTAGCATGAATGACACCTTTGAAATACACCTCTCTTATTCCAATCTTCCTTGCAAAATAGAATAACAAAGAATTTTTTTATAATGACTTAAAGAATAGTTAATATTTTTGGCAAAGTTAATAACTTTATTTAGATTTTCAAAATTCAAATTAGAAACAATTATATCAATCTCAGTTCCCTCTCCCTCCTGTTATCACATGCCTTCCACCAACCCCCCAACCCATCCCCCTTTTGCCCCCCCAAGGAGGGTGAGGCCTTCCATGGGGCATAATTAATTTTTATTGCATAAACATTTCTAGCTTCTAGGATGTTTTCAAAGTTTAGCTATAAGCCATGCTTGTCCACAGAGTTTCTGGTTTTCCTAGTGTCTTTCAAGTCATCTTAGAATTTGAGGACAGTCTGAATCAAGTAAAGAATAACATGTATTTATTCCAAATTACATATGAAGTTTTCTAAGTTAAGTATTTTTGTGTTTTATTAAAGCAGTTCAATAAGCTAACTTATTGAACTTTTATGAATTTTCATTTTTAATGATTTTAATACCAATTAAGTTCTAAGGATTAGACTCCAAGTTACACCTCCCCTTATATGTTCTTTTTTATTATTATAATTTATTTAGGTTACAAACAATCTTGTTTCACATGTCAATCCAAGCTCCCTCTCCCTCTCCTCCTCCCCCAGTCTCCCACCTAATCTCGACTCCCACTCCGATCCCCAGGGAGAGTGAGGCCCTCCATGATGGATCTCCAGTGACTGTTATTTCATCCAGGGCAGGGCCTAAGCCCCCCTCCAAGAGTCCTGGCTGAGAGAGCCTCCTATATTGTGGCATGGACACTCAATCTGTTTGTACGCCGGTGATAAATACTACCCAAGGCCTCATAGATTATGTAGGTCTCCTCACTGACACCCACATTCAGGGGGTCTGGGTCCCTTATATCTTCTTCAATAAGCATGTTTCAAGTAGTTTAACAATGTAAAAATATGACCTTGTTTTAAAATCAAAGACAATCCAGATTTCATTGGTAAATAACTAAACTTGAATTCATTAGAGGTATTTTCTTTCTCTCTTGCATTATTATGTGAAGTAACAAATCACATAGAATTGGGGGAATATTAATGGGAACAAACAAACTAAGCTTGCTTTTTCAGACAATGACTTTAGCAGAAGACCTTATATATCACAAAACTTTCATATACAGCTTAATGACTTTCATAAAGCTGACTGAGATATTGCATATTTTATGGCATCTAAAATTTTAATCCACATTTATGTTAAAATTTGGACATAATCTATATAATGTAATTTTCTCTAGGATTTGTTTGAATGAATCCATAGCTCATGCCTAATTTCAGGTTCATATAAGGTTCACAGCTGCATCATCATTTAAAAAACAATTAAAAGTAATTTGATTATGTCATTTTATAACTAGTGAAGGGTTTTTTTTTGTTTTTGAGAAAGGTTTTATTGTACTGTGTAGCCCTGGTTGTCCTGGAACTCACTATGTAGATCAAGTTGGCCTCCAGCTCACAGAGATCCATGCACCTCTGCTACCCAATTGCTGGGATTAAAGGCATGTACCACCATAGCTCAGATTAGTGGAGATTTTTTTGAAGAATATTTCATTAGTCATCAATTCACAGTTGAAATTTTATTTACATGCTCTAAAGTTAAAAAGTCATAAACTTTTAAAGTGAATATGCAAAAGCATACCATGTATTTTAATGTTTATAATTTAGTATGAATCAAATAAATGCAATTAAAAATGTATCCTTTATTTGCACTGCTGTTATTATTAATACTTGCATCTATAACACATAAAAATTTTACAATTGCTTTAAGGGAAATAAAAAAACATATCATTTAAGGATGTAGACAGACTTTAATGTGTGATGATACAATATGACTAGACCAGAAAAAAGGCATGCTCCTTTGTTGGTTATTTTATTATTGTAGCTAATGCGGCTTCTGTGGTTATCAAAAAAGGCTCTTACTTATTTTTCAGTCATTGTCAGAACCATTTGGAGGTAAAAAAATTAAAGCATCATTGAAAGTATGTCCAAATGCCCTAAGACGGTACACCCCATACATCATGACATGCATTTGATCAGGAGTCAGTCTACTGAAAGTAATGGCCATGTCAGAACAGCATTCTTCTATTACATCGTTCGGGTAGTCAGTCATTGCCTCTCTAATAAACATCCCAATAGTCTTGGTATTAAATAAGTCTTTTCCTTCGTCATCTTCAGCATTTTCTGCAAGCACTCCGTCATTTCTCAGGCACATTGCTAGCAGCAGTTCTTCATGCAAATTCCAAAACCCTTTCCTCTCTTCCGGACACTTTCTACTGACAGTGAGAAGTCTGTTGAGTCTTTTCATTGATTCTATACTTAATACAATTCCCCCCTCCATACTCACATATTCAATTCTTATAAAATGTTCAGTGTGACCCAGATAGAAAGGTTGTGATGGGTCTTTTCTTAGCAAAAAATACTTTAAGTTTTCGATAATAGCAAATGTAGTGGGATATGCAATAAAGAACCAGTTATATTGGTCTTTGCTTTCATTAAAGGCAAACAGGAAAGCTTGTTTCATCACCAACCAGGTGTCACTCCCATTCAGAACAATAGACTCAAACACTTTAACAGGTTTAGAACTGAAGAACTCTGCTTTATCACAGTGTTTGCTCCAAGTCTCCTTCACTGCAGCCCACAGACTCACATCTGTGGATGATGCAAGGATGATACAGTAAACCCGGAAGTAGTTACTGAGTTCCACGCGTTCAGCTTCCGACATTTTCAAGACTTCTTTGTTAGGAGCTTGCAGGTGGTGATGGTCGTGGTGGTGCATCCCATTTCTGCGACCTAGCCTAAGGTGCCCAAGCACTGTGATCATGGCAAAGATAGCACTTCCGAGTATCACACCCTTCAAAAATGAGTTGCATTGTGAAAGCATCTTTCTGAGTCTAAAATGGCTCAGCGACAAAAGACACAGCCACCTGTGGCTTTCTGCTCAAAACCAAGCTTTTTCCTATGCTACTGACCTGGCAATAACAGGAGCAAATCGTAACCTCTCGTTGGTCTCCTGTAAGGAGGTGGTTATATAGAACAGCTGTGGTGTTAAAAGTACGGAGTGCCTGAAGGGACAAAAGAGTTTTGTTCCACGTACCCATGGAGGAACCCTTCTCTAACTAGGCCACTAAAAGGACTCTGGAAAACTACCAGGCCACCTGGGTTCTTTGACCCTAGCAAATAACTCTAGCTACACTATTTAGTTAACAATAAGTAACTATAATCAACAAAACTTGATTCTCGGATGTTAAGAGTCCATCCAAAACAAGTCTGGATATTTGCCTAAAATAACTAGCAATTATGGAGTGTGGGCACTGGTAAACGTACACAATCGTCACCCATGTTTTAGAGGCACAAACATGAAATTCACTATGATTTTTGTTGTTGTTGTTTGTTTTTTATTCTGTTCACAAAATGTTAGGAAGAATCAAAAGTAAAATATTACTGAATAACAGAAGCAAGAGATTCAATAGATTTATTGCAAACTCCGAAGTCCACCTCTATAATCGACTAAAAGAATAAAGTACATGTGTGAGCATGTGCTCACTGAATAATGTATATGCATTAATAGCAAGATTCTGCTATATACCTTTCCTGTATTATTTCCCTTTTCATTGTTAAGCTTAGCATATGCAAGGCCCTTCACAAATTCTAGACTCTTGTTCTGACATTGAAATAAACTCTCCCACTCCTCAAAATTTCCTAGATGACCGACCAAATTTGAATATTTCAGCTACTATGATTCATCTTCTCACCATTTACTCTTAGTTTTCTGATGAAATTTTGCCTGGTCTGTGTTATACTCATCTTTTATGAATTATTAATTGCATATTAGTATATTTAACATTGATATATCCAGGCTCATATATATCTGTGAAGGTTTATGTTTGTAAATCTTCTTTTATAGACTACAGATTGTTTATTGTTTTACCTTTAGGGCACTCAACAATTAGTTAGTAAAATATTCTTTATAGAAGCTATAATATGTTTTATATTATTTACTAATGACTAATTGTTCATTTACTTATCATACAATCTAATAAACATTTAACATTAAATAGCTATGACACATTAAGCTAATCAAATAGTTCTTTGAAAAGGTTTATGTTTTTATAAAAGAGTGGAGTGCATTTGCAATGTTTCTTAGGGTATTGAAAGGCTAATCTAACTTACTGAATCTAATATAGTGGGACAGAGTGTGTGCCTTTAATGAAAAATGTTAAATAAAGATTGATTTAATTAAAACATCACAATTTTAAATAGAAAATGTTTAAGCAAGACACCCTGCAATTACTGGGGTGTGCATTATTATTCTATTTGTCATTACACAGAAAACAGAAGTAGTTTGGAAGATGCAATAAAGACAAATCCATAGCCATTGAAGTTATACTCCAGTTGTTCTATGTAGATCACGGTGAATAGCTAAACAATTTGTTATGATGTCTAATTTTCTGGCTTTTCAGGAAAGTTGAAAAAATTTCCTGAAGTTCTTTAAAAAGGAGTTGAAGAATTACTATATAATGTGTCCAAAGGCATGTATTAAATACTTAGCACATATTAAAGTATTTCTCCATTTCTCTTTTCCTTTCAATTTCACATATTTGAAATGCTTGCATGCCTGCCTAATTATACTATGCCTGAAGAGCACACAATGGCTCCCTTTCGCTGAAAGAAAAATTTTCTAAACCCATGTAATTCTCTGCATAAAATATAAACAACACACAAACAAGAACAAAATCTTCTGTCTTCTTTCAGTGTCAACAGATGGAAATTTATTTTCTTAACTTTTAAAATTCAAGGTGACTCATTATACATCTACTCAAACTTAAGTAGAAGCCTAGTCATTCATTAGCTAATTTTCTTTCAGCATTAACAAGACTAAAATCCAGTTATATATTTAAACTCTACTACACGGATTATTAATTAGTTTTTGTTCTACTATTTAAGCACTTAATATGAAATGAAGAATCCTTGAAGTATGTGTGGGTAACAAGCCTTAAATCCTAGCTACAAGAAGACCAAGTAAGAAGTGTGTAGGCTCACAGTCTGCTGGATCTGTAGAGGGAGCATTTCTCTCAAAAATAAAAACAGCAGGGCCAAGCGTTGTTGGTGCATGTCTTTAATCCCAGCATTCAGGAGGCAGACTCAGGCAGTTTTCTGTGAGTTCGAGGCCAGCCTGGTCTACAAAGCGAGTTCCAGGACTGCCTCCAAAACAATACAGAGAAACACTGTCTCGAAAAACGAAAAATGAATAAATAAATAAATAAAAATAAAACACAGCAAATTAAAAGGGTCACATTGTTTTGCCAGTATGTGTGTGTGATGTGCATGTTTGTGTGTGTATATGTGAGTCCTATCAGTTGAGTTCTATGTCTTCACTACATCTCATGTATTGATGATGGCTTTCTCACTTAAAGCCAGCATTGATAACTCAGCCAAACTCATTACTTATTTTAGTTTGAGATCCTATCTCACCATCAGTAATCCTGGAACTACAGACAGGCTCCATACTGCTCTAGTAATTACATGAGAGTGAGGCACATGAGCTCAGTTCCTTCCTGTTGTACTAAAATATTTTAACTAGCAAGCCATCTCTCCCCTGAAAGACATTCTTTCATATACAAGCATTATAGCTTAATAAACGATGGTGATTCAAAAAATAGTCTAAAATTATTACTTTCAATGACAATTTCACTTTAAAGATTCCTTACACAAGCAAATCAATAAATCATCCTTTGTTTGATATTAGTTTTCCATAACACATTCCATTTTTAATTTGATAGCATCTCTCCTTGAATGCACACTTCTTTTTTACTAAATCTTCCAATGTGATAATTTTTGTCATTGAATTAAAAAATATGGTTAGTTCTTATTGTTATTCCAGTAATCTTTAATTTTTACTTACTCTACATGTACTATTTGACAATTGAAGTCCCTTGTTTTCCTCCTGTTTTGAATTCCTTTACTTTAGAATTTTGTAATTCTGATTTTTATATGAAAATTTTAATTTTCCATTCATCAAGTTTTACATGTACATTTTCAATTTTATTTGTAGATGCCCTAAAAACCTATATATTTTCCTGATTAATTCAAATATAATCTTAAATACTACACACACGTATCAAACCAAAGAAAGTAATATGTAAATCGAACCCATGCACAAACACTCTTCTTATCTTTGGTATTATTTTGTGCATTCAAAGTTCATGTCCTCATTTGCTTTGTGCAAAGGAAGTCATTTACTTCTGTGTGAACTGGTTGCAGAGTTTCACTGTCCGTTACTACCCTTTCTTTTATCTGGGTTTTGTCACGCTGTTAAACACTTTGGGATAACTTATTTTATGCAATACTTGGATATGAACCGAAAGCAAATCAGCAAAACTTAGTATCTGCACAGGCTTTGCAGGGGAAATGTGATCAAAGTTACCCATATTTTCTATCTGAAAAATAAAAGTAGAAGAATGCAAGATCACAAGAGCCAGAAATGTGTTAATGGGTATAGGAGAACTAATTATTTGTTAAGAACAGAAATTTTTGCAAGCACAGTTACCTAACATTTAATCATACCTGGTTACATAATGTGTTTCTGTAAAACATTTAAGGTATTTGTAATCATTCCATTTAACCTAAATGTTCATAACCTGAATCTTTTGCTTTGTGTACTTGGACACATAAAAGGATGCAGTCCTAAGATATCTTAAATACAACCCTTAATATGCTGTAGATATGGGTGACTGCATATTTTTCGTAGTGATAACATTTAAAACTATATTTTACAATCTTTCAAAAGTTTATAGTAGTTTATAATGGAGAGTCTTTGATGTCGTCAGAGACTTCTAAGAGGTAAGCAATCGATATTTTAGTGGCTACTTATTCTACTTGTACGTTTCACCAGCAAACAGGAACTAGTTTTCAAAAATTTTACTTGAAATATTCGTACTTGTTACTATTATTTAGGTTAAATATATTGTTTTTAAAATATTTTGTCTCTATATGAAAATTAAGTAACAAAGAAAGTAAGAGAAGTTTTATCTTGTCACAATGACATCCAAATCTTTGTGACAGTTTATCCCTCACATAGTGAGGAAGTCATGGTAGTTGAACCTTGAGATAGTTGCTCAAATATACAGGGAAAGCCTGAAAATACAGGAACATGAAAACTACTGTTGTTGTGGGTTGAATTGGAAATGTCTTTTATAGGGTCATTGATTTAAACAACCGGTACTGAGTCAGTAATATTTTTTTTTGGTTATTCTTCCTTAGATAAACTACACTGGAACCTCTCAAACATAGCCAGAATTGGGTTTCCCAGGTAATATGAATTCCAGTGAATTTGACAATGCATATTAGTCATCTTATTTATATTTTTAATTATAGATATTAAATATTCAAATATCTTGGGCGCATTTGCTAGGAAACACTCTTCAAAGTTTATGAACTTATCCTCTGCCTTAGGAATCTAGAAAATAATGCAGAATTTAACGGGTGAAGTAGCTTGAACTGCTTTTATTCACCTACTATTTCAAAGTCTACTTGTGTATTATTGGTGTTTGCTGAGGAATGTGTGAAGACATTCTTTATTCTCACATGTCTGTTCCTCATGCACATTCTCTGTTATCTGTCTATGCTCTTTTCTTTAATGGACTTTACTTGTATTGGATTTAACTCCTACTTTATGACCTCATTTGTTCTTAATTATCTCCTAAAGGAATCTATTTCCAAAGGCAGTCAACATTTGAGGTTAAGTTTTGACCTCTAATTCAGGGAAGATCCAAGTGTTCTATTATAGTTGCCCTTATCTACTATTATAGAGCCATCCAGTTTCAAAAAGGCACAACATACTCCTTAATAGAACCTTTTATTTACTTCATTGTTTTAAATACCTTTACTCTCTTAGGTGTAACAGGGGTACTCTCTTTTCAAATGAACAATTTAATTCACATATTACCACATCTTTTCACTAAGCTATCACGGATAAACTGATGTGTGCTATTTCTCTTGATGGAACTGATATACCTACCACTGAACTAATATTGA